TATTTTCACGCAAATTCTTCTGCTAGTTGGGGTTTAGTCCAAATCTGCATCCTTTCCTTCAAGGCTCAGGGGTCCAAGATTATCTTCTGTGTCTGTATTTATTGGTTTCCCTTTTCTTTGTTGAAGAGGGTCTGTGCAATCCTTCTGCCTAGTCCGCCATCTTGCCCCGCCTCCTTCCTTGGTGTTTTTTGAGTTATTTATTTTTTTCCCCCTTGTAATAAGGATTATGAGATCCTCAAGGTCAATGGGCTATGGCTTATGAGTCCTGGTAACCCTAGCACAGCATTGGGACACTGCATAGCTCAGTGCGTCCCCATTAAAAGATTTATTTTAAGATGGGTAGGACAACACTGTGTTCAGATACTGCCAAATCACAGTTGGAGAAAAGCCCACAAAAAATAAAACTCCCACAATTTTTCCTACAAGGGAAAGATTACCACTAGCCCTGGTAATGTGCTGAATGAGTGGTATAAGAGACCACGGGTAATCCATCATGTCTTCTTTGGTGCAACTCCTGACTTAGAACACTGATTCCATGTCAATTCCTTACCTCCTAAAATGAAGGGCAGTAAAAGCCAGGAAAAAGACACAAGTGAGGTTGTGAAGTTTAGAGGTTTATTGGGAGTTGATTCCTCTCAGGAAAGGATGCTGTTTCCCTGAATCTTCTGTTTGAAGGAGACCAAAAGGAGAGAGTAGTTTCTGTGGCATTAGTCAGCACCAGGGGGCAGGAGAGAAAACGGCATGAATAGAAACAAGGGCAACCTCAAAAGGGTTGTGGTAGTAACAGGCAGATGGTATGTGAAAGCCTCCAACACTGTTCTTGGCACTTAGTGGGCAGGCTCTTAATGTTAGTTGAATCTGAAGGTTTGAAAATGCTTTAAAAAGTTCTCAATTATAGGAGTAGTTCATGTTCTTCATAGAAAAATTAAAAAATACAAAGAAGCAAAGTGGCTTTTTTCTTTTTCAAATTTCACTATCCACAAATAGCACTGTTAACATTTTGGTGGAACATATTCCATTTTCCACGCATACACATTTACCCCCAAAATGTTATTTTTTGGTGCCACTGGCTTGGTTCTGACTCACAGTGACCCTGTGTGCAATAGAACAAAGCACTGCCAGGTCCTGCACGACCCTCACTGTCGCTGCTATGTTTCAGTTCCATCCATCTTTTTGAGGCTCTTCCTTTTGTTCGTTGACCCTCTACTTTAACAACCACAATGCTCTTCTCCAGGAACTGGTCCCTCCTCATGGAAGCTCTGGTGGCGTAGTGCCTAAGGCACTTGACTGCTAACCAGAAGGCTGGCGGTTCAAACCCACCAGCCACTCCTTGGAAGGAAGATGGGACAATCTACTTCCTTAGAGATACTGCCTCAGAAACCCAAGGAGGGGTCACTATGAGTTGAATTGACTTGACCCAGTGAGTTTGGTTTCGTTTGGTTGGATCCTTCCTGATAACATGTCCAAAGGGCATGAGATGAAGTCTCTCCACCCTTGCTTCCAAGGAACATTCTGGCTGTGCTTCTTCTAAGACAGATTCATGTGTTCTTCTGGTTTGTTCATTTCATGTATTTCAGACAGGTTGTTAAGACGGAGAAGGACATCATGCTTGGTAAAGTAGAGGGTCAGTGAAAAAGAGGAGGACCTTCAATGAGATGGAGTGGCACAGTGGCTGCAATGATGGGCTCAACATGGCAACGAACCTTGGATGGCACAGGACCGGGCAGTGTTTTGTTCTGTTCCTCAATGGCACCTAACAGCAAAGGAAGGCAATTTGAAGCATTGGTTTTTGCTCTCACATCAGCCAGGTTCTAATCCCAGCCTTACCCGTGAGATCCTGGGCAGGTTTCTTGACCTCTCAGTGGCTCAGTTTCTTTTTTAAAATGGGATTAATGATAGTACACACCACCTTGGGTGGTTTGAGAGTTAAATAGATATCAGACGTAGAACAATTAGAACAGATGGAGGCCTTGGGCATCAGAAAAAAGCTTTGACTACTAGCTGAAAGGCTGCTGATTCAAACCCATCCAGAGGTGCCTTGGAAAACAGACCTGGTGATGAGCTTCCAAAAGGTCACAGCCTTGGAAACCCTGTGGAGAAGTTCTACTCTGAGCACATGGAGTTGCCATGACTTTGAACTGACTTGACAGCAACTAACAACAATAAAAGGCTCAACAAGCACTGTTGTTAATTGCAGACTTGACCTTTTGGAAGCAGATTGCTAGGCCTGTCTTTCCAGGTGCCTCTGTGTGGGTTCAAACTGCCAGCCTTTCAGCTAATAGTCAAGTGGTTAACCATTTGTGGTTAACAAACGGACTCCCAGGGGCTCCTCAATAAGCATTAGCTGTTACCAGTTATCTTAGCTCAAGCACTGGGCCTCCTGTAGCGAGACAGAGAGTACTGAACTGAGAACTAACGTAGGTTGAATACTGTTGTGCTGGGCAGTGTACTGAGTTTTTTCACCTGCACAATCTTCAGAACAACTTTGCTATCTTCATTTTACAAGTGAGGAAATTAAGGCTAGAACTTGCCTGGATTCATGTCAAACCCTTTCACCTAGTTTTGGTTGGCCTGAGGGGCTAGAAGACCTGCCATTAGTTGGATGTTTCATTTAAAAAACAAAGCCCAAACAGGAAGCAGGTTTCCCAGTAATACTCAGCATGAATTTGTTTTTCTTCACTCTAGTAATTGGGTTTAACAATTTGACTCTTTGACAGTTATTTAAACACAGGGATTTAAAAAAAAAATTTTTTATTGTGATTTGGGCAAGAGTTTACAGAGCAAATTTGCTTTCCATACAGCAGTTCATATACACTTTGTCTCATGACATGGACTGCAATTTCCCACAATGCAACAGCTCTCCTCTCCCTTCCTCCCCCAAGTTACCTCTTCCCTGGGTCCTTCCCTCCCATGCACTCCTGCCCCCTGAGCTGTCTCCCTCTGCACACACAGCCCTCCTATTCTCCCATGATTGTTCTCTCCAAGGACTACCTAATGTAAATGTTCAGCTCAAATGCCAGTCTTTTGTTTGGCTGGAAGCCACAGGAGTGGGTTCAATTCCAGACCTGAAGGGCAGCTAGGGAACATAGTCTCAGGGGTTCCACTAGGTTGTATGAGACCAGCAAACCTGGTCCCTTTTTTAAGGAAAACAAAAAACAAAAACACAACAGGGACTTTGGCCATTACATTTATAATGGACTACTGGTTATATAAGTCCTAGCAGAATTAGGATGTAGGTTTTATATATATATAAAAAATAATGTACACTTGTTGTTGTTGTTGTTATGTGCCATCAAGTCAGCCCCGACTCATAGCGACCCCTCCTTGGGTTAGACATTTACTTTTATGTCTGTAACTGATGGTCGAAAAATTCTCCAAACTAAACGAAACAGCTAAACCTCAGCAAAAGTAACTGGTTCATAAAGTTGTGAAGCTTACAGCGGGATATTTTAGCATTTTGATCTCCACATCTTTGCCAAAAGACGTCACAACTGAGTCCGGGGATTTGGGTTGACTCCTGCTCGGTGGCCAACTGGCCATGTTGAGTGCAACAGCCACTTCATTTCTGGTTTTAGTGTTCTCTTCCAAGGAGAAAACTGATGAATAGATTGAAATACAAAATGTCTTTTATAGTGAATAATGTCATTGCACTGATTTATGGGGCTTGCATGCCTTCCTAACCTCATCTGTTAGAAAAGCTTTAATTCCTGGCAGCCTTTGTCTACGTGTGGTGCGTTTCGGGACTCATTCTAACCAAAAAATGAGTAAGCAACTTCTGATCACTCAGGTGAGGTGAGGGAGAAGTTTCGAGGATAACACCAAACGGAAAACAATACAAACTGCCAATACATACATTTGGAAGGAGCTGCAACTTTCTGTGCTCAGAATCTGTGCAGAGACCATATGCACATTTGCAAGCAAAACACACCTTCAGATGCAAAGGGCACCTTCTTCCCTGCAGCCCAGAGGAGCTGGCACCCGGCCGGGGAGAGGTTGGCTACTTTCTCTACGTGCGTACTACCTCGCCCAGTGGTCAGCTGGCCGCGAAGTCCCCAGCTCCCCGGCTCACTCGGGTCCCCAGCTCGCGTTCTACTCGTCCTGCCAGCCGAGATCACGTTCCCGGGGCGAGGAGTCGCGCCGCAGCTGGGCGCTGGTTGGTGGTGCCATTGGGCCTGCGGCCCGGCGATTGGTCCAAGCGGTTGGTTCACGTGGTCCGCAGCAGATAAGCGGCGTCCTGGTCTCTCCGACCCGCAATCCGCCAGGGCCACCGCGGAGGTTAACAGCTAGGAACCGAAGTGAGAAATTGCGTCGGCAGCGGCGGTGACGACTCTCACAGTCCGCCGCGGCCTCTCTGCCCGATGAGCTGCACCAGGTGGGTTCACTGCAGACTCTGCGGCCCTTAACAGAGGGAAAAGCACAGCTGTGGGGAAGTCAGGCTGCGTTTTCGTTCTGTCATCACTGCAAATAGAGACCCCAGGGGCAGAGGCGTGGCGGGGCGAGGGGGGACCGAGGCAGTTGCCCACCGGGCGCAAGCCCAAGGGGGCGCCAGACGAGGCGCAGGATGGATGACATGCCTAGGCGCCCCGAACGTGAAAGTGCCTGACTGGGGCAGCTGGACGAGAGTTGGGGAAGGCATTTCTCCTGAGGCGTCGCTACTGTCCATGTCTATTCATAGTGAAATGGGGCGGGGCGGAGGTCGCAATTTAGAGATTGCCCCTGGGCGTCCAGTTACCCTCACTGTGCCCCTGCCCAGGGGACGGCGAATTGACCCCTGGAGGCACCCGTGACCTTGAAAGGTTTGGGAATTTGTCTTCTCAAGACCCCTCCAGGCACAGTCTATTTGGTAATCAGCATCCTAAATCGGAAATTTGTAATGTGTTTCAGCTTTAGTTCTGGTTCCCTCATTGATTACAAGCGTTATCTTTTGGTCTGGCACAAATGCCCTAGGAACTCGGACTGGTAGCATTGACTGGTTAGGTAGCTTAGCTTGGAAAAAGAAAACAAAAAACAATCCCGAACAATTATAGGACCTTGTTTGCATTCGTTAATCCTCCTCCACTATTCTTATCACTGTTTGCAAACTCAGTCTCAGAATTCTCAGCCTTAGAATTTGTGCAAACTATTTTTAACACTCGGCCAAGACCTAAAATTCTAGGGAAATTACCCAACACTAAAACCGTCTTTCTATAAATGTAAAAGAGTAAAAATAATAATAAAAATTCTTTAAATAACTTCTTCAGATATAACTTAGAACAAGGCATCTATAAAAATCTGGCCTGTTAAGTATTATTAGACTCACAAATATTGCTTTAGCTTTCATTTGCTTGTTCTAAGTTTGTAGGTAGCCCAGCAAAATCTCAGCGTTTAATAATCCTGTGAATGTTCTTTATTGTCCATTTTGTGTTACTACTTGTATATGTCCCTACAGCTGCTGTGAACAGTGTTACTAAAGCCAAGTCAAGAATGACATGTACAGCCCCCACACACACCTCTTATCTGTTATACTAAGTAGGGGAAGAAGTCCTAATCCCATAAGCTTGGTAATATTTAATGATGGCTAGAGGCTTGGGGAAAAAAATCTCCTTGATGGACACTTTTTGGTTTAAATTGCTGAGTGTAGGAATATTTAAATTTTTAAATAGCTTTATTATCTTTCTAGGCAATCTACTTCCGTAGTAATACTGCCTTGGAAACCCAAGGAGGGGTCGCTATGAGTCCGGTCCGACTCGACGGCACATAACAATAACAACAACAGTTATAAAAGTAATACATCCATTGCCAAAACATTGGAAAATACCAAAGAAGTATAAGGAAAACAAAAACAGATCACTATAATTCTGTCACCTACAGACAATTGTTAACTTTTTGGTATATTTCCACTTTCCTCAATATTTTTAAGACCATATATGGTAAATCCATATAGAGTAAATTGTCAGACTGACAATTCTTGTTTGCCCTTTAAAGTTATGTAAACTTGTCCTCACTTTGAAACAATTGGACCAACCCCTACTTGCAACAAATTCATTGCAATCACCTTCACTTGCTGCCTGCACCTCTTTTAAATCATTGAAAAGGCTTCAGCCTTTTCTTGCACTAAAACAAAACAAAACAAAAAACCCTAAACTCACTGACATAGAGTAGATTCTCACTCATAGTGACCCCATTGCATTGCCAAGGCTATATATAAATCTTTATAGAAATAGATTGTCCCATCTTCCTCCTGTGGAGCAGCTGGTGGGTTTGAACCACTGATCTTCTGGTTAGCAGCCAAACGCCTTATCCACTATGCCACCAGAGCTCCTTTTCTTGTACAACCATGTGCACCTGTTCTGGCTTACCTGCAAATTTGACTTAAGATATGCCTAGGAATGGATCTCGTCCATAACCCAGGGACTGCCTGTATATAATATATATTAAAAACAGTCTACTTTTCAGTTAATCAGTTTTTTTCCTACTTAAATATGGATCTGTCATGACATTTTTACTGTATTAAATATAGATATGCAAAGTTTTTAAGTATGTGTATTGCTAACTTGTCTGTCATTCAGTTATTTGTAAAAAAATGAGCAAGCACATGATAATCCAAGGGTAGAGATGGTCCTCTGACTTCACTTTTTCAAACCTTCACACTCTCAAAATTGTCCATGAGACATACTTACTGCTTTTTCTTCTTCTTCCTTTCTATTTTGTTTTCAAGTGGGTTACTTTTCTGAGAAGCATAATCAATTCAAAAACAAAATTGGCCAGAGGAAACATTGGGTGTGGAACCAGTGGTTCCTGAACCTGTCTGGTCATCAGAATCACCTGGGAAGCTTTAAGAAAATATGTACCTCTGGACCCTATGCCAAGGAGCTCTGGTAGCACAGTGACTAAGGCATCTGACTGTAAACCAGAAGGTTGGTGGTTCAAACCCACCAGCCATTCTGTGGAAGCAAGACTGGACAATCTACTTCTGTAAAGATTTATCGCCTCAGAAACCCAGTGGGGGTCACCATGAGTCAGAATCAACTCGATGGCAGTGGATTTGGATTTTTGGTGGACTCTATACCCAGAGGTTCTGCCTCAGTGGATGACCCAGAAATTTACATTATTTTAAAAAAAGAAAGACCAGACAGGTTTGAGAACCAATAGTCCAGAATAGAGCAGATGGTTCTTAGAGCTGTACTAGAGATGATCGTATCCAACCCTTTTATTTCACATAATGGGTAAACTGAGACCTCCAAGTGTTTTAAGCAGTTAATCCACAGACTTAGCCAGTCAAGGGTAGAGTTAAACATAGAATGTAAATATGATAACTTAAAGTTTTTAACATATATGATAACACCTCTCTGATAATTAGTGCACCAACTATAAATCAGTCAGTACAAAAATAGAACACATGTATATGCAACCAGGAGAGAGCATTGCAGATCCAGATGATAACGCCTTTTCCTATTCCATTCCAGAATGATCCAGGTTTTAGATCCAAGGCCTTTGACAAGTTCAGTCATGCCAGTGGATATGGCTATGAGATTCTGCTTGGCTCATTCGCCACCTCTGAAGAGCTTTCTGGGCCCTTATGATGACTTTCAACGAAGAAATTTTGTGAACAAATTGAAGCCTCTGAAATCATGCCTCAATATAAAACAGGAAGCTAAATCACAGAATGAATGGAAGCGCTCACACAATCAAGCCAAGAAGCGGGTTGTGTTTGCTGATTCCAAAGGCCTCTCTCTCACTGCCATCCATGTCTTCTCTGACCTCCCAGAAGAACCAGCGTGGGATCTCCAGTTTGATCTCTTGGACCTTAATGATATTTCCTCCAGCTTAAAACTCCATGAGGAGAAAAACTTGATTTTAGATTTCCCACAACCTTCATCTGACTACTTAAGTTTCCGGAACCACTTTCAGAAGAACTTTGTCTGTCTGGAGAATTGCTCTTTGCAAGAGCGAATAGTGACTGGGACTGTGAAAGTGAAAAACATGAGCTTCGAGAAGAAGGTTCAGGTTCGAATCACTTTTGACACGTGGAAAAGCTACACTGATGTGGACTGTGTCTACATGAAAAATGTGTATGGTGGCTCAGATAGTGACACCTTCTCGTTTGCCATTGACTTACCCCAAGTCATTCCAACAAAGGAGAAAATTGAGTTCTGCATTTCATACCGTGCCAATGGGCAGATCTTCTGGGACAACAATGAGGGTCAGAATTATGGAATTGTCCATGTGCAGTGGAAACCTGATGGGGTGCAGACACAGGTGGCATCCAAGGACTGTGCATTCTACCAGGTGCCCCCCAAGACTGAATTGGAGTCAACAGTCTTTGGCAGTCCAAGGCTGGCTAGTGGGCTGTTCCCAGAATGGCAGAGCTGGGGGAGAATGGAGAACTTGGCCTCTTATAGATGAATTAAGCTAGTGACTGACCTTGACCGGTCATATTCCCCAATGTAATTCTAGGACTGAATTGCTCAGTATTAGGAAGTCTTTGCTATTTTCTTTCAGTAGGTTTAGGTTCAAGCTTTTGAGACCTGGTTACAAAGAAGATAGCTGCTTAAGAACTTAGATTTTGGGTGAATAGGGATGATGTTGCCCAGTTTGGCGTTGGAGGATTAAGTAACCACCTGGGACCTATTTTTATAAAAGTAATACTTTTTCAATGCCCTTCCCCCTTCCCTCTCAATTTGCTAGCTTTCATGTTGGGCAAGGAAAGGCTGAGGAAGGACAATTGATGGTGATGGAAAGCTGTGCTAATGGTATGAGGAACGTCTGAAAAGTATACACAATGGGCTCTGCAGCTCAAGTCAGACTGAGAGTGGGAGGTCTGATACTTAATTGTTGATGAGAAAATGTAAGGTGGTTTTATGTTTTTAAGTTGGTTTTACAGTTCTCACCTTGAAAAATCATTTGTAGAGAGGGGATAAGTTCTGCTCTTAGGTATTTTTGTGGAGAAAGAGATTAAGAGTGTGGAATGGTGTTGGAGAAAGGTAAAACAGGAGAATCAAGATCTCAAGTGAAGCCTTTCTGTTTAAATGTGATTTATAAAAACCAACCAACCAACCATAATTTGGGCAGAATATAAGCAAATCTGGATTTGCAGTCTTCACATAACAAGTGACCTTTGTAATCAAGGCATCATGCTTGGTTTCTCAGTATAACCAAAAACCATGCCATCATCAATGGCTGACTACTTGTAGGGACTCTGTCATGTCAAAGATAGCTCTTTACAAGTGCCTTGATTAAACCAGAACATTGTAGTTGCTTAACCAAATATTGGAATGGGCATCTAATAATGCATGAGTTTTTTTTTTTTTTTTCCTCATCAGAAGATCCTCTCTGAAGACTGGCACTCCTCCCACAATACTGTTGTATCTTTGAGAGTGTTGTCAGTGCACGCAATTTGCATCCTTCATATTGAAGGTGACTCATTTTTTTCTGCCACACTTTTTCGATGTGACGTTTGACGTGAGGGCTGACACTAGGATTCTCTATGCAAGAATCCAGTGCCTTATACAGCGATGTAGCAATCTATTTCTTGCCTACTTTGCCTTACTTGTCTTTCTACTTAATTTCCTTGGAGGCTAAATGTTTTTCTTTTCTTTTCTTTTTTTTTAATGGATGTGCATTGTTTTGGATGTGTTGTAATATACTTATTTTGGAGTGTATGTTAATCCATTTTGTAATATTCATTTGTCTGTAAGGACAGGGGTCCCTAAATGTTTGTTTCTATCATTGTGCGCATCTGCTGAGAGGTGTTCAGAGGATGCAGCTGATGGCATTCTGCCATGCCAGAGGAATACATTACTGGAGTCACCCCACTCTGACAGTACCTGAAGTTTGCCTGGCACCCACAATTTTCTGCTGTAAACTTTTCACTTCCCTATAGCTATGCTTTAGGTGTTGCTCACTTTAAGAATAAATGTGTTTGATACAAGACCTGAATGTGTTCTTCCTTAAGTCTGTTGTTATGTGCCATCAAGTCGGACCCAACTCATAGTGACCCCTCCTTGGGTTTCCGAGGCAATATCACTACGGAAGTAGATTGCCCCATCTTCTTTCTGAGGAGTGGATGGTGGGTTTGAACCACCAGCCTTCTGGTTAGCAGTCAAGTGCCTTAGGCAGTACACTACCAGAGCTCCTCAAGTCTATGGTTAGTCTAATAAGAAACCATGAACTGAGAGTCTCCCATTTTGGTTAGGAACAACTGAGCAGAGCTCATTTGGACCTGGAAGGAAATGGATCCGCATGAGGGTATTCACATGGTCCTAGTCTCATCAGTGATCACACTTCCTGCCACCTGAACTTTGGAGGTTGGGGTGTCCATGGGCAGTGACTTGAGCTGCTGCGACTGTCCTGCTAACTCCCCGTCTGTGGTTGCTGCTCATCACACACACTCTGCTTGGTTGTGGTTTATCTTATGGGCCATTTCTCAGCTTTAAAATACGGGAGGAGATGGTATAGGAAGGGCTTGAGTGTCTTCTATCTCTTGAGCTCCAGGACCTTCCTGAAGGGGCCAAACTTTTTGCTGTACAAAGGGCCACAGGGAGGGGGCTGAGAGTATCGAGAGGCAGCAGGTCTATGAACCCAAGCTGTGCCTCCAGTTCTTGCCTAAGTTTCCAGAAATGCCTTCTGCATGGTGAATCTTAAGGTGAAAAATGATCAGCCTACTGAAAGCCCCAATTATAAAGAATACATTTTTATCATATCATATATAGCATCCTGTACATCAGCAGTTGTAAGCTATAGTAGTAAACTATGGGCCTGCGAACTATATCTGGCCATGGATGTATTTTGTTTCACATGCAGAATTATCTTTATAAGGAGAATTTATTGCCAAGACTGAACATTCAACAGCAGACTAAATATATATATATATATATATATATATATATATA